TTCAATCATTTCTCTGTTTATTATGATGCTGCTTACTGGTCCAGATGTGAATTTTTTTTTTCTTTATGTTGGGCTGTAGTCTGAAAGTGGTCTTACTTCATCAGTAAGTGCTTCAAGTCATCCTCACTTTCAGCAAGCAAAGTAGCGTCATCTGCATATCACAGGTTGTTAATGAGTCTTCCTCCAATCCTGATGCCATATTCTTATTCATGTAATCCAGTTTCTTGGATTATTTGCTCAGCATACAAGTTGAATAAGGATGGTGAAAGATACAACCTTGACACCCTCCCTTCTTGATTTTGAACCATACAGTATCACCATGTTCTTTTCAAATGACAGCCTCCTGATCTGCATACAGATTTCTCATGAGTACAATCAAGTGTTCTGGAATTCTCATCCTTCTCAATTTGTTATGATCCACACAATCAAATGCATTTACATAGCCAATAAAACAAAAGTAAACATCTTTCTGGTATTCTTTGTTTTCAGCTAAGATTCATTGGACATCAGCAATGATATCCCTCATTCTACATCCTCTTCTAAAATCCAGCTTGCATTTCTGGAATTGCATTTCTGTCAATGTACTGCTGCAACCATTTTTAAATTATTTTCATTAAGATTTTACTTCTGTGTGATATTAATTATATTGTTCTATAATTTCCACATTCTGTGGGATCACCTTTCTTTGGAATGGGTACAAATATGGATTTCTTCCAGTCTGTTGGCCAGGCAGCTGTCTTCCAAATCTCTTGGCATAACCGAGTGAGTGCCTCCAGTGGGGCATCTGTTTGTTGAAACATCTCAATAGGTATCCCGTCAATTCCTGGAGCCTTGTTCTTGACCAATTCCTTCAGTGCAGTTTTGACTTTTCCCTTCAATACCATTGGTTCTTGATCATATGCCACCTCCTGAAATAGATGAACATCAGCTGATTTTTTTGGTACAGTGACTCTGTGTGTTCCTTCCATCTTCTTTTGAGGTTTCCTGCATCATTCAATATTTTGCTCATAGAATCTTTCAATATTTCAACTAAAAGCTTAAATTTTTTCCTCAGTTCTTTCAGCTTCAGAAATGTTGAGCATGTTCTTCCCTTTTGGCTTTCTTACTCTAAGTCTTTGCACATTTCATTATAGTAATTGACTTTGTCTTCTTGAGCTGCTCTTTGAAATGTTCTGTCCAGGTCTTTTATCTTCTCATTTCTTCCATTTGCTTTAGCTACTCTCCATTCAAGGGCAAGTTTCAGAGTCTCTTCTGACATCCATTTTGGTCTTTTCTTCCTTTCTTGTCTTTTTAATGACCTCTTGCATTCTTCATGGATGATGCTCTTGATGTCATCCCACAATTCTTCTGGTTTTCGGTCATTGGTGTTCAATGCATCAAATCTATTCTTTAGATGGTCTCTAAATTCAGGAGGGATATTATCAAGGTCATATTTTGGCTCTTGTGGACTTGTTTTAATTGTCTTCAACTTCAACTTGAACATGCATATGAGCAGTTGATGATCTTTTCCACAATCAGCTCCTTGCCTTGTTTTGGCTGAAGATTTTGAGCTTTTCCATTGCCTCTTGCCACAGATGTAGTCAATCTGATTCCTGTGTATTCCTTCTGGTAAAGTCCACATGTATAGCCATTGCTTATGTTGTTGAAAAAAGGTATTTGCAATGAATAAGTCATTGGTCTTGCAAAATTTTATCATACATTCTTCAACATTATTTCTATCACCAAGGCCATATTTTCCAACTACCAGCAACTCTTCTTTGTTTCCAACTTTTGAATTCCAGTCACGAGATAATCAACACATCTTCATTGCATGTTTGGTCAGTTTTAGACTGCAGAAGTTGGTAGAAATCTTTAATTTCCTCATTTTTGGCTTTAGTGGTTGGTGCATAGATTTGACTAATAGTAGTATTAACTGGTCTTCCTTGTAGGCATATGGATATTATCCTATCACTGACAGCATTGTACTTCAGGACAGATCTTGAAGCAGTCTTTGTGACAATTAATGCCACACCATTCCTCTTCAATTTATCATTCCCAGCATAGTAGATCATATGGTTGTCTGATTCAAAATGGCCAAAACCAGTCTATTTCAGCTCACTAATGCCTAGGATATTGGTCTTTATGCATTCCATTTCATTATGGACAACTTCAAATTTTCCTAGATTCATACTTTGTACATTCCATGTTCTGATTATTAATGGATGTTTGCATCTGTTTCTACTCATTTTTAGTCATGCCACATAAGCCAGTGGAGATCCCAAAAGCTTTACTCTATCCATATCATTAAGGTCATATCTACTCTGAGGAGTCAGCCCTTCCGCAGTCAAATTTTGAGTACCTTCTGAACTGATGGGCTCATCTTCCAATACTATATCGGACAATGTTTCAAGGTTATTCATAAAGTTTTCCAGTAATATATCAGACAGTGTTTCCCTGTTGTTCATAAGGTTTTCCCTGGCCAATTCTTTGAGAAGTGGATGGCCTCTTCCTTCTTCTGAGTCTGTCTTAGCCCAGGACCTCCGCTGAAACCTGTCCACCATGGGTAACCCTGCTGGCATTTTGCAACACTGGTGGTAAGCCCTCAGCCTCACAGCAACATGTAAACCACCACAGTACTGCAAACTGACAGAAAAGTTTGTCTATGTTTGTTGTTCCTAAGCACTTTGCGCCCAACTACCTTGGACCCTGGCCTTAAAATAGAGCTTCCCCCAAGCCAAAGCAAGCCCAACCCCTGTGCCCACCTATCTTGGGCCCCAGCCTTAAAATAGAGCTACCCCCAAGCCAAAACATCCCCTAGCCCCATGCCCACCTACCTCTTCAGCAAAATTTTACTTGTGTATGATATTAATGATATTGTTCAATAATTTCCACATTGTGTTGGATCAACTTTCTTTGGGATGGATATAGACATGGATCTTTTCTAGTCAGTTGGCCAGGTAGCTGTCTTCCAAATCTCTTGGCATAGATGAGAAGTGACTCCCGTGTATTCCATCAATTCCTAGAGCCTTGTTTTTCACCAGTTCCTTCAGTGTAGCTTTGACTTCTTCCTTCAGTACCATTGGTTCTTGATCATATACCACCTCCTGAAAGAGATGAACATTGACCAATTTTCTTTTTGGTACAGTGACTCTGTGTATTCCTTCTTTCTTCTTTTGAGGCTTCCTGCCTCATTCAATATTTTACCATAAAATCTTTCAGTATTACAGCTCAGGGCTTGAATTTCTTCTTCATTTCTTTCAGCTTGAGAAAGGCCAAGAGTATTCTTTTCTTTTGGTTTTCTAACTCCAGGTCTTTGCATATTTCACTATAATAATTGACTTTGTCTTCTTGAGCTCTTTGAAATCTTCTGTTCAGCTCTTTTATCTTGTCATTTCTTCTATTTGCTTTAGCTACTCTCCACTCAAAGGCAAGTTTCAGAGTTTCTTCTGACATCCATTTTGATCTTTTCTTCCTTTCCTGTTTTTTTTAATGACCTTTTGTTTTTTCATGTATGATGCTCTTGATGTCATCCCACAATTCCTCTGGTTTTCATTCAGTGGTGTTCAATGCATCAAATCTATTCTTCAGATGGTCTCTAAATTCAGGTGTGATATAATCAAGGTCATATTTTGGCTTTTGTGGGCTTCTTTTAATTGTCTTCAGCTTCACCATGAACTTGCATAGAAGCAATCGATGGTCTGTTCCACAGTCCTTGGCCTTGTTTTGCCTGAAGATACTGAGCTTCTCCATCACCTCTTTCCATAGATGTAGTTGATTTGATTTCTGTGTATTTTAACTGGTGAGGTCCACGTATATAGCAACTCTTTACGTTGTTAAAAAAAAAAGGTATTTGCAATGAATAAGTCATTGGCCTTGCAAAATTCTATCATGCAATCTCCAGTGTTGTTTCTATCTTCAAGGCCATATTTTCCACCTACTGGTGATTCTTCTTTGTTTCCAACTTTCGCATTGCAATAACTAGTAATAATCAATACATCTTGATTGCATGTTTGGGCAATTTCAGACTTTAGAAGTTGATAAAAATCTTCAATTTCTTCATCTTTGGCTTTAGTGGTTGGTGTATAGATTTGAATAATAGTAGTATTAATTTGTCTTCCTTGTAGACATATGGATATCATCATATCACTGACAGCACTGTATTTCAGGACAGATCTTGAAACAGTCTTTGTGGCAATGAATGCCATGCCATTCCTCTCCAATTTATTATTCCCGTCATAGTAGATCATATGATTGTCTGATTCAAAATGGCCAAAACCAGTCCATTTCAGCTCACTAATGTCTGGGATATCAGTCTTTATGCATTCCATTCCCTTTTTGACAACTTCCAGTTTTCCTATATTCATACTTCATACATCCCATGCTTTGATTATTAATGGATATCTGCAGCTGTTTCTTGACATTTTGGGTCATGCTCATCAGCAAATGGAGGTCCCTAAAGCTTTTCTCCATCCATGTCATTAAGATCCACTCTACTTTGAGGAAGCAGCTCTCTCTCAGTTGTATTTTGAGTGCCTTCCAACCTGAAGGGTTAATCTTCTGACATTATATGTTTCAGGGCTATTCATAAAGTTGTCCAGTAATATATCAGACAGTATTTCACTGCTATCCATAAGGTTTTCACTGGCCTATTCTTTGAGAAATGAATGGCCTCTTCCTTTTTAAGTCTGTGTTAGTCTGGAACCTCTGATGAAACCTGTCCACCACAGGTGACCTTGCTCGTATTTGAAATACTGGTGACATAGTCTCCAGCCTCACAGCAACATACAAGCCACCACAGTACAACAAATTTACAGACAAATGACGGAAGTTGCAGTTAAAAGTCTCTTTTCTCACCGCCTACATTTTGCTAACTTGACCTCATATTTATTTTAGCTATGCAGTTCAATAAGAAAAATCTTACAAAGTGCCAAACTTATTACCTCACTTTCTTTTCCCAGTATATTTTCTGTTGATCCTCTATTGTTTTCATTGGTTAAAGCAAAAAACAACAGGAAGGTTGACTAGGCCAATCCAAATACTTGCATTAAACAGAAAAACTAAATTAGGAATTTAAGAGTAAAGGTGACAGGTGACTATTTTGCTTTTCCCTGCATGTCTCCTCTTTCCTTTCTCCCTTTCAACTGGGGTCTTTGTTTTCTTCCCCTAAGTAGGTTTGTGATAGGCTCCCAAAAGTCTAATATGGGGGCTGACAAACTCAAACTGAGAGCAAGCAGGCCACATATAATATTAAGTAAGCAGAATATAAGGCAAGAGGGAACTATGTGAACTGAGGCAAACTGGAGAGTATCAGCTTCTTCTGTAGAAGCTGGACAATACTCAGCTCAATCTGATTTTTGCCACATATAGGAACAAGGGCCAAGTGTTAGAAAACCTGATTTTTCATGAAAAGCTAAAGAATCTGGATCTTCATGTGAAATTTCTGTATGTTTATACTTGGCAAGTAATTGAAAAAATTTTTTTTTAAAGAAAACATGTGTTAGGGACAAATCCACTGTACTGACTGGAACCTGTCCATTGGCCTACTCTTTGTGACTTTTGTCCGAAATCATTGAGGGAATAACCCACTGCCATCAAGTCATTTCTGACTCATAGTGACCCTATAGGACAGAGTAGAACTGCCCCATGAGGTTTCCAAGACTATAAATCATTATGGAAGCAGATTGCCTCATCCAAGACTGTAAATCATTATGGAAGCAGATTGCCTCATCTTTCTCCCACAGAGCTGCTGATGTGTTCGAACTGCCAAATTTTTGGTTAGCAGCCAAACACTTTAACCACTCAGTGATGTATTCCCTCAGGCCTCAAAAGTAGTTCAGAAGGCCCAAGGAGGAAGAGAGAGCTTTTGGCCCAAGAACAGCTGAGACTTGTGGCCTGCTTCCTAGAAATGCTTAAGATCTCTGACTTAATAGCCCTCAGGATGCCCCAAGGGGACCGATGCCTTGCCAGACATCTGTGCCCCAGAGTGCTATGGAACCAGCAGAGCAGCAGACCTATCTGTCTAAATTGTCAGCTTGGATAGATGACTCATGAGCAGAGGGGGCTTCCTAAATCATGACAATATAACCCCAGAACAGGAGATGGAAAGTGGAAAGTTATAGAATAACTGAGTTGAATCACTGCTAGGGTAGAAGTGTAATTACTTCCTTAATGCTTGTCTTTCCTTCCACACTATGAGCTCCACAAGAGCAAGGACCATGTTTGGCTTGCTCATTTGCTAGTGCTTGGCCCACGCCTAGCATACAATGTGTGAGCAACACTGTGTGGCTGCATTTTATAAGGATCATGCAAGTATAAAATAGTGAGATATAAAATAGTGACAAAGTTTCACTCTATAGACACAATTTGAAATCATATAAATCTCCCCCAAATTATCAATGCATTAAGAATTGTATATTGTCTGGCAATATACAATGTACAGTACTCTGGGAGGTCACATGGATTGTAAACACCACAATGGTACAGAGTGGTGAAAGAAATCCAGGATGACTCTGTATTTTCAAGCTGGGGCATTCAAGAGAATGGTTAGATCAGGCTTACTAGGATAGGGAGGCTGAGCATTCAATGAAAGATCTTGAATGCAGATAGCAAGATCTCCTATGTGGTCTTCTCTGTAGTATTCTATAATGCTGTGGCGTTTACATTAACTTTACCCAAAGAATTTGATCTTTTTCCCTTGTTCCTGAGAGACAACCTCTAAAACTTTGGAATTTCTCCAGTAATCAAGTATTTCTGATGCCCACCAGCCACTCTGTGGAAGGAAGACTGGACAATCTACTTCTGTAAAGATTTACTGCCTCAGAAACCCAGAGGGGGTCACTATGAGTCAGAATCAACTTGATGGCAGTGAGTTTGGTTTGGTTTTTTGCCAGACCACATCTAGTCTAACAGGTTATGCTAATGAGGTGACTCTTAGGTGGGACATGGCTAAGCCAGTTCAACCGTGGGAATCACCTCAAACGTGAGAATCACCTCATGGTATCAATTGATCTCAGGCAGAGGGGCTGGAGTTTAAATTTTGTGATAAGACCCCCAATGAAAATTTTAGACATGGAAGCTACATGGACTTCCTGAACAGTGAAAGACATCATTGCATGTGGGAAGGTAGTGTGTTCCTTTTTGGGGCACATAAGCTTCATGTTATCAACCTTCCCAAGCCTCACCCTATGCATCTCTTCATTTGTATCTTTGCTGCTGTGATAAAACTAACTGCAAGCAAAGCAGTATCCTTGAGTTCTGTGAGTTGTTCTAGTGAATTATTGAACCTAGGGAAGTACTGGATTAGCAAGTAGTAAGTGTGGTGGCTTGGGACTCTTAAGATTGTGGTTGGCATCCTCAAGGGAAAACTGAATTTGCAGCCAACAGGTCATAAATGAGGGTGCTGTATGGATTCCCAACCTTGTGACTGGCTTCTGAAGTTTTGAGCAGACCTGGTAGTCTGGAGGCCTGTATCCTTTAACTTGTGAGATCTGACCTAGTTCCAGATAGTTCAGGTCAGCGGAAGAAGTGATGCATGTACAGCTTCTGTCATAACAGATGTGGAGGGAAATGAGAAATGAGATTTTGATTTATGCTGATTATTATCCATGCAAATGCATTGCACTATGATACATGCAATTAGAAATGTAAAAATGGTTAAGTGCTGGGCTACTAACCAGAAGGTTGGTGGTTTGAACCCACCAGCCACTGCATTGGAGAAAGATGTAGCAGTATGCTTCTGCAAAGTTTACAGCCTTAGAAACCCGATGGGGCAGTTCTACTCTGTCCTATAGGATGGCTATGAGTCGGAATTGACTTGATGGCAACTATATGTTTGGTATCATTACTTAGGGAGCTCTGGTGGCATAGTGCCTAAGGCATTTGACTGCTAACCAGAAGGCTGGCGGTTCAAACCCACCAGCCACTCCTCTGAAGGAAGGTTGGGCAATCTACTTCTGTAATGATACTGCCTCAGAAACCCAAGGCGAGGTCGCTATGAATCAGATCCAACTCGACAGCAGTGAGTTTGGTTTTTTGGTTTATAGTTATTCATTGTTGTTGTATATGCTGTTGAGTCAGACCGGACTCATAGTGACCCTTCCTTGGGTTTCTGAAGCAGTATCACTATGGAAGTAGATTGCCCAACCTTCCTTCTGAGGAGTGGCTGGTGAGTTTGAACTGCCAGTCTCCTGGTTAGCAGTCAAGTGCCTTAGGCACTACACTACCAGAGCTCCCTATAGTTACTTAGCGACTATCAAAATGCACCTTAATGCACAAGAGGTAAAGACAACAAAGATAAACACTTTTACATATAAAATATTGCATTATTAGTAATAACAAACATTAATCTACAGGCAGATACATAGGTAGACAGGATAAATGATCTGGTATGTCTAGGCAAAAGGGAATATGCCCATGACCACATATAAGCTTAGCAAACAATATTTTACATATGTATTTGTCTATGTTATAAGAATGTCCATATAAATTGAACTAAGGAGGCAAAGTTATGATAACTTCTTAGCCACAGCCAGTGACCCTGAGGGAGTGAGCTGTTGGGCTTGTGGGCTTGGAACTATGTTCTTGGAGGACAATCAAGCTCAATTGGCATAACATACTACACAAATACATTGTTCTACATCCTACTTTGGTATGTATCAATTAGGGTCCTAAAAGCTTTCAAGTGGCCACCTAAAATGCAAGAATTGTTCTCTCCTCCTTTGGAGCAACAAAGAATGAAGAAAACTAAAGATGCGTGGAAATATTAGTTCCAGGGACTAGTGGACCATGAAAACCTCAGCCTACATGACCCTGAGAACAGAACTAGATGGTGCTCTGCTGCTATTGTGAACCACTCAGGGATTAAAATAGGAGATCCTGGATACAGTGGGAGAAGAATGTGGAAGAAAACTCAAAATCATTAAAAAAAAAAAAAAAAATTAACCAGACTTACTGGTCTGATAGAGATTGGTGAAACCTGAGACTGTGACCTCTAGGCACCCTTCAGGACTGAAATTGAACTCACTCCTGTGGCTTCCAGCCAAACAATAGACAGGTATATAAGGTGAACATTTACACCAGGTTGGTACACTCCTCTGAACAATCAACCATGGGAGATCAGAAGGTGCAAAAAGGACATACAGGTGGCATCTTCCTCTGACTTCCTTCAGCCTCATGAGGAGGAAGCAGATAACCCAGGGCTTATTGCTATTAGGCCTGACATGCTGCCACCCTCCATTCTTCCTGCCAATTCTGATACCAGCTGTCCCTCCCATGGCACTCACTACATCTCTGCTGGGTTTGATAATTCATTGCAATGGCCACACAGAACTCACAGATAACACTCACAATTATAGGGTTTATTAGGGAATTAAGAGGCTACAATTCAGGTTCAGGAATGTGCTCAGGATACAATTCTTTGATCAGGACCGTCTCCCCTCTGCTACACCCACAGACACACCTCTCTGGCCCTTGGCCCCTTGGCCTGGCCTCTGCCCTGCTCAGGCAAGTATTACAAAACTCTTTGTGCTCTGCCAATAGGTACACCTACGTGTACTCCACTCCACCAGCCAGCCTCCTGCCCAAGGGCACTCAGCTTTCTTACTCCATGGGCTGGCAAGGCTGCCGCTCTGTCTTGTGCTTCTTGATTCCATTGTCACCATCTACATGCTGGAGCATCTCTACTAGGATGTCTTTGCCAAGGAGGTCCAGTACAGGGATCTTGGGTCCAAGGACATGCTCCATGTGACCTCTAGTTCTTCTCTCCTGATGGAGTGAGATCCCCCCTTCTGCTTCCAGGAAGGCTCATTTTAAGCCTGCAGAGTGACAAAACTAACCAATCCCAACCTTAGAGTTCCATAAACCTTCTTTGCATGATTCTACCCAGTAATCTGGTGGAAGTTACACAGACTATGACTAAAAAAGCCATACTAAATAATTCAGTGCACCACAGAAAAGCAGTATTTGCATGGGGAGATAGCTCAAAGAGCAGAAATGCACAGGAAAGAAGGACACGGGGAAAAGGTAACCACAGGGAGGAAGTGGGAAGAGAGCTGTTACATTATGGGATTGCAATCAATGTCATGAAACAAAAAGTGTATGAACTGTTGTATGGAAAATATATTTGTTCTGTAAACTTTCACCCAAATCCCAATTAAGAAAAAAAAAAAAAGGCAACTCTAAGTAAGTGATTTGAGTAGTGGCTGTGACCGTGGTTTGGAATACTCAAAGAGCATGGATCAGGTTCCATATTCCTTCAGCTCAGTTGGGAGCAAATCAGCTCCCCATACTTGGACCCACTGTGAAAGGGACTCTTCCCTCTCCTTTCTTGCTGTGCTTCCTACAACACAGGTGTGGCTCCAGGGCAGGAGCAAAACAACAGAAGCTGCTCTCTCTGTCAATAGGTGGAAGGAGGGATATAGGAGATAAGGGAGCCACTTGGATCTCAGTATCTGGAAGTCTCTAACATGGGACTTCTCAAAAGCTGTGTGGCAACCAGGGAGAGCCCAAGAATGGGGTTTCTTCTGAAAGTTTATTTCAGTAACACTGAAAGAGGTTGACAAATGATAAACCCACACATACCAAAAAAAGACCAAATTCACTGCTGTTGAGTCAATTCGACTCATAGCGACCCCTCCTTGGGTTTCCAAGATGGTATCTCTAGGGAAGTAGATTGCCTAATCTTCCTTCTGAGGAGTGACTGGTGGGTTGGAACTGCCAGCCTTCTGGTTAGCAGTCAAATGTCTTAGGCACTACGCCACCAGAGCTCCACAATACTCCCTCAAATAATTTTCTTAGAACTAAATGAAACACATATCAAAGTTCCTTCTCAATCATTTTCTTACACCAAAGAGTTATCCCTTACCTGTGACTGTGGTGTTATTATTAACATTGTTGGCAGGTTCAGATGCTAAGATAATCAGCAACTTGCTTAACTCTGAAGTCCCCTGAAGCTAAAGGAGAAAAATCAAATTTAGTCAAAAGAGCTGATCTCTAAGGGGACTGTTTCCTACCATTTCTAAAGAATATTTTAAAAATCAGCCAAAATCAAGAATAGGCCTCCAGCCTCAGTTCTATCTTTTTCATTTTAATTTTAAATCCTCTTTTATATTGTTCCATGAAGTCTTGACCATATATCTTTTGCATACTTATAAACACCAGAAATGAAATTTTGAGACGGATTGACACAATGGTCTCAAGTATGGCAACAATGGTGAGGAAGGCCCAGGCCCAGGTAATATTTCACTCTGTTGTACATAAGGTCTCTATGAGTCAGGGCTGATTCCACAGCACCTAACAACAACACTTGCGACTAGATTGGAAATTCTTAGTCTGGAAAATATGGACCCCCAGAAGTTATCTCACTTCTATGTTGATGGTCCAGGGCTCAGGCCCAGCTTTCACAGAACATCAGGACTGTCTGTCTTTCTCAGAGTTTTTGCCCCATGTCTCACAAAATCAGACCTCCTAAAAGGAGCTCTAGTGGTGTAGTGAATAAAGCATTTGGCTGCTAACCAGAAGGTTGGTGGTTCAAACCCACCAGCTACTTTGCTGGAGGAAGATGAGGCAATCTACTTACATAAAGATTTACAGCCTTGGAAACCTAACGGGGGTTGACTTTGATCAGAATCCCTTCAATAGCAGTGGTTTTTAGAGTGCAAATAATGTAGCAGTAATACTGCTACCATCATTTTTAGATACCGCTTATTATCTCATTTGATCCTTACAATAACCTGATGAGATGGCTGCTGCTATTATCCCCACTTTATGAATAGGAAACTGAGGGTCAGAAAGTTTAAGCAACTTGCCTGTGCTCATACAACTAGTGGGCAAAAGGGTCAGGTATTAAATCCAACTGTGCCTGACTCCAAACCCCGGTCTCTTAACAAACTGAACCCTTGCCTCTTACACCCACCCCTCATTTCAAAGTCATTGCATTTTCTATTAAAAACATTTAAATTACCTTCACCCTCAGAACTGTGGAAAGGTTCAAAATAAGAATGCCATGGAATGAGGCAATTTTATTATTTAGGAGTTTGTGCCAATTTTTCCAGGACATAAATTTTAATTTAACTAATGATCATGCACAGCCTGAATAGACAGAAAGGGTCTCTCCCAAAGGGGAGAAAATTATTACCAGATTAAAGAAATGTCACTTAGACTCTTCTCTTGGCTTCTTCATCCTCCCCATTCCTCGGCTCCACCTTCCAGTTACCCCTGTGGCCCAAAGGCAGGCAGCTTGGCCTATTGATGAGCTTGCTTCTACCCTTCCCAGTCCCTGTTATGCCCTAGCTGTTCACACTTTCCTCTTTCTTACAAAGGCATAGAGCCACGAGGCCCAGGGCAAAAGATCCACATCAAGATGTGCCCACAGCTCCTAAAGTGGCAACAAAGTGGCTATGGCCCCTATTCAATTCCCTTCTTAAAAACTAGTGCAGATGCTTCCTAGGTCATGCTAGCATGTGGCATTGTTGCTTAGTGTGAACTAGGTAAAATACACCATCTCCTTCCTGGAGAAAGGTTTCCACACCAGAGCAAATGGCCTGGCAAGCAGAAAGCAGGCAGATTCTAACCCCAATTGCCCCTCAGTGGCATTCTTGTGTAGGGTACAGCCTGTACCACAGTACATAGAAGCCCTGGGTATGTTTTTATTGTTCTGTTAAGGGCTGGTGAGGGCTGGTGGTTACAGGGTCTCTACTGGTTAAATTTCTTTTTCAAGGTTGTTAGTTGAATTTTAACAGCAACTAAAACAAAACAAACAAACAAAAAAACATTGCCATTGAGTCAATTCTGACTCATAGCAACCCTACAGGACAGAGTAGAACTGCCCCCATAGGCATTCCAAGACTATAATCTTTAAAAAGCTGACTGCTATATTTTTCTTCCACAGAGCAGCTGGTGGGATCAAATCATGCACCTTTCAGTTGGCAGCTGACTGCTTTTAACCACGGCACCTCCAGGGCTCCTATAACATCACTTAAACAAAATAAAACCCTCAAAACTCACTGCCATCGAGTCTATTTTGACTCATAACAGCCCCCATTGGGTTTCCAAGGTTGTAGATCTTTATGGAAGCAGACAGCTTCATATTTCTTCCACAGAGCAGCTGGTGGCCTCAAACCACTGCTCTTTTGGTTAACAGTCAAATGCCTTAACCACTACACCACCAGTAACATCACTTAGGGACACCTTAATGGTCTCTTAACAAACTAAACCCTTGCTCTTAACCTCATGTTTCATTTCAAAGCTAAACAAATTTTCTTTGGGTAGTGCAAATGCTTAAGCACCCAACTACTAGTCAAAAGGCTGGTAGTTCTAACACACCCACAGGCACCTCGAGAGAAAGACCTGACAGTCTGCTTCTGAAAGGTCACAGCCTTGAAAACCCTATAAAGCAAAACAAATGAAACCCACTGACACTGAGTCGATTCCAACCCATAGTGATCCCCCCATTGGGTTTCTGAGGCAGTAAATCTTTATGGAAGTAGATAGCCTGGTCTTTCTTCTGCAGAGTGGCTGGTGGTTTTGAACCACCAACCTTCTGGTTAGCAGTCAAATGCCTTAGGCACTGCACCACCAGGGGTCTTTGAAAACTCTATGGAGCAGTTCTACTCTGCACACAGGAGGTTGCGATGAGCAATAGTAACTAACAAAAACAAGGGGTTCCTTGAAGAGCAAATAACTCCTTACCTGCTCACAGCTTTTAGGTATCATAAAAGGGGCAAAATAGTGCTTCTCTGTCTTCATATCAATTACACTGCCATACACAATAATAACAAATTTTATGGTCACCTTATCAATTATCATTTCATTATAGCTTGATAAAGTCTCCACATAGGCATGGTTGGATTCCACACACTTCTGAAATGTTAAGTCCTACAATGAAATTACATTTTCTATAAATCATACAAATTGACATGTTTGGAACAAAGCAAATTCACCACTCTATCTGAGTTTGTTGAGGGTGTCAGAAGGCATATGAACCCTGGGATCTATAGACAGATTTTATCTAGAGTTTGGAATGACCTTTGATAAGATTCTCAATTCAGTTTTTATGTTGTTACTGTTTAGTGGCCTCAAGGGTTTTTGCCCAGCCCTGACTTTGGGGCTTGCAGGAGCTCTCAGCCATCCACTTCAGGGTGCTTGGCTCTTCCTCCTGTGTTTCTAATTGCACAGGAACCAGAGTCTGAAAGAGCTTGTATGTCAGTAACTTAAGGTCCCATATGACAAATGAGCAAACAATAAACAAAAGCCAAAACAAAGCAAAACACTGAGTCTAATTCAAGACTCAGAATCATAGAATTTCAGAGCTGGAAAGGAACTTGGAGTTCAGTCTGACTTAGGAATCTTCTGGTCAGTGCCCTGATAGGGTGCCCTGCTCAAGTGGAACACCTCCAGCAATAGGAAGTTCACAGCAACATGCCCCAGCCCTTGGTCCCCCATTTTCAACAGGTAAATCAAACACTTACTCAATGAGGGCACAACTGGGATACAACAAAAACTTTAGAAAAGTAGCAAACTTATTTAAAATTTTGTAAGCAGAAACATCTAAAAAATAAGCTATTTTGGCGTAAAAATGTTTTGTACTGTATGGTTTAGAGATGTGGGGTAGCGTAATATTTTCAGTGCCTAGCTCTGGTAGCATAGTGGCTAAGGCACTTGACTGCTAACCAGAAGGCTGGAGGTTCAAACCCACCAGCCACTCCTCGGAAGGAAGATGGAGCAATCTACTTCCATAGTGATACTGCCTCGGAAACCCAAGGAGGGGTCGCTATGAGTCGGGTCTGATTCCACGGCACATAACAACAACAACAACAGGGATTCTAAAAAGTCTTAATTGAGCTCTGGGAGTCATTACTGTTGGCTAGTTCTTTATGGACAAAGATAAGAAGACATCAAAGTGTTAATTAGAGATTCTGTGAAGAGTAAAATTGAGGGTAGAAAAATTATTTTTTGTACCCATAATATCTAAGTTATATAATGAATATGTTTTTAAGGCCAGGGGCTGAGGTAAGCAGGCCCAGGGTTCAGGGACTGTTTTTGCTTGGGGGTGGCTCTGTTTTTAAGGCCAGGGTCAATGTAGGCTGGCCCAGGGCTTGGGGGCTACTTTTCACCTGGGAGCAGCTCTATTTTAAGGCCAGGCAGGGCCTGAGGTAGGTGGGCCCAGTGCTCAGGAACTGCTTTTCGCTTGGTGGTGGCTCAGGACCTGAGGTAGTCAGGACTGCGGTTCATGGGATGCTTTTTGCTTGGGGGTGGCTCTTTTTAAGGCCGGGGCCCGAGATAAGTGGGCACAGAGACTGGGGGCTGCTTTCACTTGGGGGCAGCTCTATTTTAAGGCCAGGACCCAAGGTAGGCAGGCACAGAGGGGTTAGGAACAACTAAGGGACACGAACTTGTCTGTGAGTTTGTCTTCCTGTGGTGGCTTATGTGTCGCTGTAAGGCTGGAGGCTATGTCACCAGTGTTGCAAAATGCCGGCAGGTTACCCATGGTGGACAGGTTTCACCAAAGCTTCTGGGCTAAGACAGACATGGAAGAAAGGAGAGGCCATCCAGTTCTCAAAGAATTGGCCAGTTAAAACCTTATGAATAGCAGTGAAACATGTCTGATATATTACCGGAAAACTTTATGAATAGCCCTGAATGGGCTTTTTATAACAACATAAGCAATGGCTATACACATGGACTTCACCAGATGGAATACACAGGAATCAGATTGACTACATCTGTGTCAAGAAGTGATGGAGAAATTCAATATCTATGGCCAAAACAAGGCCAGGAGCTGATTGTGGAACAGACCATCAACTGCTCATATGCAAGTTCAACTTAAAGTTGAAGACAAGTAAAACAAGTCCACGAGAGCCAAAATGTGACCTTGATAATATCCCTCCCAAATTAAGAGACCATTTAAAGAATAGACTTGATGCATTGAACACCAGTGACCGAAAACCAGAGGAATTGTGGGATGACATAAGAAACATCATCCATAAAAAAAAGAGGTCATTAAAAAGATAAGAAAGGAAGAAAAGACCAAAATAGATGTCAAAAGAGATCCTGAAACTTGCCCTTGAGCAAAGAGTAGCTAAAGCAAATGGAAGAAATGACAAGATAAAAGAGCTGAACAGAACATTTCAAAGAGCAACTCAAGAAGACAAAGCCAATTACTATAATGAAATGTGCAAAGACCTGGAGTAAGAAAATCAAAAGGGAAGAACATGCTCAGCATTTCCCAAGCTGAAAGCACTGAGGGAAACATTTAAGCCTCGAGTTGCAATACTGAAAGATTCTATGGGCAAAATATTGAATGATGCAGGAAGCATCAAAAGAGGATGGAAGGAATACACAGTCACTGTACTAAAAAGAATTGGTCAATGTTCATCTATTTCAGGAGGTGGCATATGATCAAGAGCCAATGGTATATAAGGAAGAAGTCAAAACTGTACTGAAGGAACTGGTGAAGAACAAGTCTCCAGGAATTGACAGAATACCTATTGAGATGTTTCAACAAATGGATGCCCCACTAGAGACACTCACTCAGCTATGCCAAGAGATCTGGAAGACCAACTGTCTGGAAGAGAACCATATTTGTACACATTTTAAAGAAAGGTTATCCCAAAGAATGTGGAAATTATCTAACAATAGCACTGATATCACTTGCAAGTAAAATCTTACTAATGATAATTCAAAAACAGTTGTAGCAGTATATTGACAGAGAGCTTCCAGAAATGCAAGCTGGATTCAGAAGGGGATGTGGAGCGGGGGATATCATAGCTGATGTCAAATGGATCTCAGCTGAAAGCAAAGAATACCAGAAGGATGTTTACTTGTGTTTTATTGACTATGCAAAGGCATTTGATTGTGTGGATCATAAAAAATTACAGATAACTTTGAGAAGAAAGGGAATTCCAGAACTTACTTGATTATACTCACAAGGAATCTGTACATAGATCAGGAGGCTATTGTTCTAACACAACAAGGAGATACCGCATGGTTTAAAATCAGGAAGGGAGTGTGTCAGAGTTGTATCTTTTCACCATACTTATTCAACTTGTAAACTGAGCAATAATCTGAGAAGCTGGACCATATGAAGAAGAAAATGGTATCAGGATTGGAGAAAGGCTTATTAACAACCTGCAATATGCAGATGACACAACTTTGCTTGCTGAAAGTAAGGATGACATAGAGCACTTACTGATGAAGATTAAAGACTACAGAGTGCCCTATAGATTACACCTCAACATACAGAAAACAAAAATGCTCACAACTGGACCAATAAGCAGCATCATGATACCTGGAGAAAAGATTGAAATTGTCAAAGGCTTCATATTACTTGGTTCTACAATCAACACCAATGGAAGCAGCAGTCAAGACATCAAAAGACGTATTGCATTGGGCAAATCTGTTGCAAAAGATCTCTTTCAAGCACTGAAGAACAAAGATATATCCTCAAAGACTAGGATGAGCCTAACCCAAGCCATGGTATTTTCAATTGCCTCATATGCATGTGAGAGCTGGACAATGAGTAAGGAAGACTGAAGAAGAATTGATGCTTTTGAGTTTGGTGTTGGTGAAGAAAACTGAAAGTACCATGGACTGCCAAAAGAAGTAACAAATCAATCCTGGAGGAAGTGTAGCCAGAATGCTCCTTGGAAGCAAGAATGGCCAGACTTCGTCCTACCTACTTTGGTCATGTTGTCAGAAGGAACCATTCCCTAGAGAAGGATATCATGCTTGGTAAAGTGGAGGGTCAACAAAGAAGGGGAAGGCCATCAACAAGACGGATTGACACAGTGGCTGCAACCATGGGCTCAGGTACAGCAAGGATCGTGAGGCTGGCACAGGAGCAGGCAGTATTTCATTCTGCTGTGCATAGGGTCGCTATGAGTCAGAGATGACATGACGGCATCTAACAATAACAACAACATAATGAATATGTACTGTTTGTTAATTAAAATATTTTTTAAAAGGATATTCACCTTAATAGAGTCAAGTCTGATTCCCTACAGTTTCAACGCATTTGGTCCTAATTTTCTCCTTTAGTTCCATATTAGATGCCAGACTTTCCTGTTTCTCACAAAGAGACAAGGAAAAAGGAAAACAGGAGACACTTATGTCCTCACCCCCTACACACAAAGTATTTTCTGAAAATTTCTATTGCTACATAGTAAAAGAAATATGACTAGCTTTATAGAATATGCTAATTTGTAAGCCCAATATTTATAGCCAGTCTCTCAATTCAATGAATATTGTAGAAATTCAGGTCTCCCACTTCTCCAGTTCCTGACTCATCTAAACTCACTGCCAATGAGTCGGATGCGACTCATAGTGACCCCTCCTTGGGTGTCCGAGGCAGTATCACTACAGAAATAGATTGCCCAATCTTTCTTCCGAGGAGTGCTAGTGGGTTTGAACCACCAGCCTTCTGGTTAGCAGTCAAATGCCTTAAGCACTACCCCACCAGAACTCCTACTTGACTCATAGTAGGAGCTCAAATAATTATTAAATAGGATACAAATTTGGGATTTTAAATGGTATCAGTCAAGGAACAGACTTGAACCACTACTTTTTGGCAAAAAAGTCAATAGAAGGGGTTCAGTCACTTCAATGAAGATTTTGCAAAGGCAAGAGTCTTATATTAACATAAGTAGAGTAGATTATAATAAACACCAGACTGAGACTTCATTAACACATTCTTATTGATGCTATGGGAAGTCCCTGGGTGGTGCAAACAATTCAGCATTTGACTACTAACTGAAAGGTTGTTGGTTCAAATCCACACAGAGAAGAAAAGCCTGGCAATCTGCTTCTGAAAACCCTATGGAATGTAGTTATACTCAGCACATATGGGGTCCCCATGAGTCAGAACTGATTTGATCATAACGGGAGCTCTGGTAACATAGTGCCTAGGCATTTGACTGTTAACCAGAAGGCTGGTGGTTCAAACCTATCAGCCACTCCTCGGAAGGAAGGTTGGGCAATCTACTTCTGCAGTGATACTGCCTTGGAAACCCAAGGAGAGGTTGTTCGGATCTGACTTGACGGCAGTGAGTTTGGTTGATTTGGTGGCTCTTGGGGATCTACTGACTTAACATTTTCTAAATCTACTTTTTTTTTTTTTTTAGGGATAATTTCAGGTAGCATGGGAAAAATAGTGACAAGAAAACCTATAACCTTGCAGGAAGTCAGGATAAGGGAGTGGTTAACCTTCCTTTCCATCTCTGTCTTAAAAACATAAAATACATTTTGTAAAACATACAGCAAATAAAAGTTCATTCACATTTTAATCATGTAATTTTACCTCATCAACGAGACTTGATTCAAAGTACTGAGAAGCAGTATGGAGAGCCAGCTTTAGCCATATTTTATATTCCAGAGATGGCCAGAAGACATCAAAGCCTTCATATAAATCCTCCAGGGAGATGAAGCAGGCCTAAAAAGTCACCAGGAGAGCAGCAAGATTTTTTTTTTCCCTGCACCACCATAAGCACTTAAAAATCATTTTATTGTGACATATAACAAATTTTCTCCAAAGTACATAAAACCTACAAACAATTAACCTATATTATTTAGATGCATACAGATTCAGGATCGTGATATCTTCTGGGGTTTTTGTTTGTTTGGTTTGGTTTGGGTTGTGGCTTAGGTGAAAGTTTACAATTCAACAGTTCATACATATTTTGTTTTGTAACATTAGTTGCAATTCCTTCAATGTAATACCACTCTTCCTACTTCCTCCCTGAGTTCCCCATACCTATAGGTCCTTTCTTCCTTCCCCTTGCTGCCTGCCTTCTGAGCTTTGTCTTGGGGCACATGCTGCCCTTTTGGTCTAATACGTTTAATTGTTCATCATGAGTGATATTGTTCACTTTATAGGTCTGTTGTTTGGCTGCAAGGTGATCCTTGGCAGTGGATTCAGTTCCAGGGTAGAAGGGCATATAAGGGTCACATTCTTGGAGGTTCCATCAGTCTCTTTCATACCAGTAAGTCTTTTTTTATGATTTTGAGTTTTGTTCTACATTTTTCTCTTATTCTGTACAGGATCTTCTGTAGTGCCATTAAGACCAGTTGGTAGTGGTAGCTGGGCACCATCTAGCTCTTCTGGTCTTAGGGTAGTAGAGGTTGGAGTTCATATGGTCCATTAGTCCTTTGATTAATTGTTTCCTTGAGTATTTGATTTTCTTCACTATTCTTTCCTCTACCTAGTTGCACCTTAAGGAGTTCTGGTGGGGTAGTGGTTAAGACATTTGACTGCTAACCAAAAGATTGTTGGTTCCAACCCACCAGCTGCTCAGTGGAAGAAAGATGAGGCTGGATGCTTCTGTAAAGATTTACACCTTTGGAAACCTAATGGGGGCTACTAGGAGTCAGAATCAACTCAATGGCAGTGAACTCTGAGTTGCACCTTAGATGGCCAATTACAAGCTTTTAAGATCACAGTCACTACTCATCAAAGTAGGATGTAAAACATTGTCTTTATGGACTATTTTATGCCACTTGACCTTGATGTCCTCTACAACTATAGTCCTGAGCCCCCAGGCCCTGCAACTCATTTCCTCAAGGTGTTTGGTTATGACTTATCCCTGTTTGCTCTGTTATGTTGTTGCTGTTGTTTGGTGCCATTGAATTGGCTCCGACTCATAGCGACCCTATGCACAACAGAATGAAGCACTGCCAGATCCTGTGCCAGCCTCACAATCTTTGCCATACTTGAGCCCATCACAGCAGCCACTCATGAGGGCCTTCCTTTTTTTGCATAGCCTCCTTTATCAAGCATGAGATCCTTCTCCAGGGAATGGTCCCTTCTGACAACATGGCCAAAGTAGGTAAAATTCAGGAGCCCAAGATTCAGGAACTAAGCCACATCAATATATCTATTTTCATTGCCACAGCATATAAAATAGCCTCAGCATTTGTCTCTAGAGGCAAATTGCTTACCTGATGAGAGGAGCTCTGGTGGCTCAATGACTAAGGCATCAGCTGCTGACCATAGAGTTGGTGGTTGGAACTCACCAGCCACTCTTCAGGAGAAAGATGAGGCAGTCTGCTTCCATAAAGATTTACAGCCTTGGAAACCCTATGGAGCAGTTCTACTCTGTCCTACAGAGTCTCTGTAAGTCAGAATCGACTCAATGGCAGTTGGTTTACTCTTTCAGAATTCAAGGTAAAGGAAATTCAGAGAATTCAATTCAGCCCTGTGACTCACTTCATGCCTTTTATCCTTTTCCAGAAATGAAGTAGTATGAAGTTGATGAAGAAACATTCCCTTCTGCTCAGACTCTGGGCCCTGTCGGATACATCTGACAGTCCCAAAAAGCAGACAACTCTGTACAAGCAGGAACCTTGGTACATTTGCATTTTGGTACCCCATTCCTAGTGGACAGTCCAGCCATTGATTTATGACGTAGGTAATTTCTTACTTAGCAAGTGGAAAATGCCTTGAAGAGTTTTTTAAAAAGCAAGGAAGTTTGCTTTTTTATTTTCCTTTTACAGCTGTTTTCAAATTATTTTTTTTCTGTTAAATATTTTATTGTGTTTTATGTGAAAGTTTACATAGCAAATTAGATTGCCATTTAACAAGTTTTATACAAATTTTTCCATGACATTGGTTACATTTTTCACAATGTGACAACATTCTCATTATTTCCATTCTACTTGTTCTGCTTCCCTTAACCTAGATTCCCTGCCACTCCTTAGCTTCTCATCTGTTTTAGGGTTAATTATGACTATTTGGTCTCTTATAGTTGATTATTTAAGAGACCAAATTGATTATTTAAGAGACCAAATAGTGATACTGCCTGGGAAACCCAAGGAGGGGTCGCTATGAGTCAGGGCGGACTCAAGGCACATGACAACAACAACAAGTTGATTATTTAAAGGAGCACAGTACTCACAGTACTCATTGGCTTATTTTATAAGTCAGTCTATTGTTTGGATGAAAGGTGACCCCTGGGAGTTTCAAGTTCAAACGGTGCCTTAGGGCAATGGGAGTTGCTATGGTCTCTATCAGTCCAGTTAAGCCTGGTTTGGTCTTTTTTAGGAATTTAAATAAACAAGTATTCTTAAAAACAAACAAACAAACAAAAAACCTGCTCTCATAATGGAGACCATTTATTGAGCACCTACATGGGCCAGATACTTACAAAGACTTTTTCCCAATCTTCATTGCATCAAATGGTAGGTATTTGCTCTGTGTAATAAATTTGGATGCTGAGACTTAAGGAGGTTAAATAACTCACCCACGACTCCATAGCAGGATACGGTAAAGTTCAATAGTCTAGATGTGAGACACTAAACCAGCATTCTCTCACCTAGTCCACGTTTTCTCCCAATAGCTGGTTGGATAATTAAACATTATATCAGAAACCAAAGGAAGAAAGGATGCTGGTGTTCCTTATTTACTTGAAGAATTAACTAACAACAATATAGAGAACCAGCTTCTTACTTGTAAAGTAGTTTCACAAATGGCAGTATATTCACTTTCACGCTTAAGCAGACAGCTCAACTCCCCGATTATATCCCCACTAGTGCAGAACTCTGTAAACATAGCTTTGGATTCCCTGTCAGGCTTTAGGGTATTGTCTGTTCCAAAGGAAGGAGGTGAACCACGCAACTGCAAAGGAAAAAGAAAATGAGAAAGGGAAATAAGAAATTAAGCATCTTTTGGCAAACTATCAAGTCTCTGGGTGATGCAAACAGCTAATGGTATTGACTCCTATAATCAAAAACCTGGAGGTTTGCGTTCACCCTAAGGAATCTTGGAAGAGAGTTCTGATGGTCTCCATTAGAAAAAAACAGCCACTGAAAACACTATGAAGCACAGTTTTACTCTGACACACAAAGGTTACAGTGAATTGAAATCAACGCTATGACGATTGCATTTCTGACCAAACCACTGGCGTTCACCCTGTTTCTTGCAATTATTACACCAGAAGGAAAACATTCTTCATGAATCTTGTCAGGTGTGAAGGAAAAATCAGGCTTCACAAAAATCATGGCTTTTCCCACATTTCAACTCTCCAGGGAAAAGATTTGTTTTCAAACTTTAACTTTACAGATGATCCCCTATCTGCAACTTTCCACTCACACATTTTCGTACACAAAACTCCCATGTAAACTAGTAATTACAGTCTGTAAGTAACTCAGTCACTAATTCTGATTCCATTAGATATTCTTTTTTTTTTTTTAAATTTTATTTTGATTTGGGTGAAGATTTACAGAGTAAATTCACTTTTCATACAGCAGTTCACATATACTTTGTCTCATGTCATT